TTAACTGGTGGAATAGATTATTATATTTATTTTGGCGAGTGGCTCATCTAACGGTGTTCGATTGATCAAGGAATCTTTCTATGCTTATTACTTGGGAAAATTGCGCCTCAGTCAACCAATACGATTTTTAAAAAACTCCAATTTGTTCACAAGCGTTTTCCTGCACTTGGAGCAAGGTAAGTGCATTTACTTCGAGGGATTGTCCTTTAATGGACTCCCTGTTATACATCAGCTTCTCTCCTGAATGGCTTTTGCGAGTATGTGTGGACAATCATTCGAATTCACAAATTGCTACAAATAATGGTAATTGAGCTGAGTGGAGTGCAATTTGGTCTTAAATCATATACGTAATTTCAAAATCAAACGAGTGTGCAGCGCGGGTTTGATTTGAAATCCCAAGTATGATATCAGACCAAAATTGCAGGACGCGAAGTTCAATTACCACTTTATTACATCTGTTTTGTAATCGCAAAATTTATTCGCTCGATTTTTTTTTAGTCTGTAGAAATATTTTATTGATCCAGTCAGTATATTGAGCTGGTTTGTAAAAAGTTGTCCCTCATTTTCTTTTAATTTCGTTGATCTCTTTAAACAAGCCCTGAAATTTGATTGGTTGTTGTGTTTTAGTGAAGATATCTCATTGGCTAGGAAAAATATGCGATTTAGAGCTTAAAATGGTGCGATTTGTGTATGAATCGCATCGGCGAGATTCAATCAGATTGCAAGGATCGTAAGTGATTTCAAAAAGGATGCAATAAAGCTCGATACGAACGATTAGGGCGCGTGAGAGAACGAGTTTTAAACGAAAGAGTGAGTCCATGAGCGATCGAACAGAAAACTGGAACGGGGACAGAGAACGGTCAAGCATTTGAGCTTGGCTCACGCAGTTTTGACAAGCCTTGCACCTCTTTCATGAATAAACTTTTTTTTTATGTGCATAAAAATAAACCTTCCAAGCTTCTTTTCAGAATAAAACTTGCATTTTCGAACATGTTGACAATACTATGCAAGCTAATTCATACGTACAGAACAAAACAGGAATTAGGCCCGCCCTTCATAGAGCTCTAGTGAAAACAGCTAGTGAAACGAAAGTGTTACCTCACCGTTTGCGCCACTAAAACTGGGGAATATCCGTGCAGTGTTATATCGTGAAACTCTCCGTTTAAAATTTAATTCATGATGGTAAGGAACATTTTTTGTTGTAGGTGTAAAGGAAAGTGCTAATAATACTAATAATTAGGGATAAATATTTAAACACTTGGCAAAGCCTTAAATGCGTTAGGAGTTCCTTGATTTAACACTGATGACTGTTCGTTAAAGGAGGTTAGTTCTCAAACAAATACTGTCCGAGCAGATTTCAGGCCAAACGGAGGGCATTGGTTTTTTGCGTGCAGAGGTGACTTAATTAATAATTAAATTATATGCTTCTTTCTTGCAGACGTTTAAACAGGAATGGTGTGAGGTGTTCAACATGAATGCCCCTTCCGATGCTAATTAACAGTAACAACGCACAGCAATTCCCAGACATGTTCTTTCTCCAAAGAAAAAGAGGAGTTTTTTTTACCACCAGCATCCTTGGGAGTGATCTCTGTAGAAGCAAGTAGTTTACAATAACTTTTTCTTCAGATCACCAAAAACAAGAAATATGACAACGCACACTTAAAATCCTGAATTAATTTTTTTGCTTTTTAATTTTCTCCGATTAAAAATAAACCGCTCTCAATCTCCAGCCCTTTTTGATTCACAAATGTGTCGAATTTGGTCCTAAATCTCATTTAAGAATGTAATGATAACTTGATCCATTGCTGGACGGCAATGATGTACATAACATTTGTATTAAAAGCGATTGTGAAATTTTTCAGTATAACGTACGACAAATAATGGATTTTATCACCACGATTAAAATAAATCTCTCATACAGCCAACTTTTTACTAGTCTCCCTTGGTGCGTAAGTTTTTCACGATTATCCCTTTATCTTTATGCATAATTTAATGAGCCTGCTCCATGCATTTATAATTAATGGCGTAGAAAAAGATAATTTTATAATAATAAATTAGAAATCCATACATGTTGCTTATTGGACTCGACAGAATTGGGAACATTCATAAAACATGTAGTAATGGAAGCTGCTTCACGGTTTATACATCATGAAAAATTTGCCTTAAATAATTCTTGCTCATCATGCGTAACGATCGTTAACCCTTGAACTCCCACGAGCGACCAAGACAATTTCTCTTTACATTATCGACACAATATCAAGCAGAAAGGTGATAAGAATGAAAAAATTGATCTGGGGATTAGTGCTCCAATACCAAATTTTCCATACTTACATCATAAAAATTGCATGGCAGATATTAAGGAGAATTACTTATGAGATCTTGGGAGTGAAGGGGTTAATTTTCCTCGTACTTAACTACCCTTGTTTCCTTTTTAGTTTATTCTTGTATCTTTCCAGGCGCTTGACCTGACTCGTAGTATTGCTATGATTAGCTTGATTTAACTCTCTTCCAAAAACCACCACAAAGCGCTATTGATTAGAATTAGCCTTGTCTCCAGGCAACGAAAAATATATCACTAAGAAAATAATTTCAATAATTTTCAATTTTAAATTTCCCCTCCTTTGAGATAACATGAAGTGCCCCTTCTCTACTCTCAACAATGATCAAAGGCTCGTCACTGTTTCATTCTCAATAATTACTTCAGTGTCTCTTTTTATAACAACCCCATCAGTCTTTGAGGATATTTTCTTAATTGACTTCGTCATTACGGAAGATTTCCTTCTCCGCTGACCAGTTCTTTTGGTTGGAACCAGTCCATCCATGTCGTCCATCATTTGTTCTAGGAACGCCTGGTCATCAGTTTCCATGGGAACAACAGAAATGTCACGCACCGCGCGAAACTGACCGCAGTTGTTCAAGTGCTCGTTCTCGAGACGGAAGAAATTCCAAATAAAACGCCTGAAACATAGGAATTTGAGAAAAACACTGCCTTGAAGCAGACACTTCATTGTTCGTGAATTTTGAAAAAACTCCTTTCATCTTTCTAATTTTTAATTAGAAATACATATTAATATTCGTCATCTTTACGGTCCTAGTTCCTTTCCAGTTCATCAACCCCGTTATGTCTATCCTCGCAAAGTATTACTTTCAAGGTTTCCTTTCAGCAACTGGAAATTCGTCTTACAATAACACATGACGTTACATTTTCACGCAAAAACTTTACCCACTGGTTGTTTTTTGTAATGCTGTGGTTCGCACTTCATTTACCGAAAGAAAATAGAAAAAGAGGAAAACAATAACGAGTCACCACAGCCAGTATATGGAAATGATAGTGGTGTGTCAAACATCGGCGCCATTAACGCACTAAGTCATACGCAGTAAAGGTGGGCAATGGATTATAAAGGGATAACGTAAAAGTGCAGCATTGGGGAAAGTGAAAGAAGTATTGGACGCCGATTGAGTGAAGTGTACAGTGCATGATGGGAAGGTGGAAGGGGAAAATAGTGTCAGGAAAACTTTGATGTTGGGAAAAAAGTCAATCAATCAGGATTGATATTTGTTTGTTTCATTTTGCACAAAATTACCATTTGACTTACCTAAATACTTCGCACACTGATAAAATAAGCTTCAGAATCTCAGAATGAAATATTTCTAGTTCTCCTACAGAGACTGTTAGCGTCCATAACAACCGGAAAATCAAGTCCTCCACCATAGCGAAGTAGTAAAATGCCTAAAAGGAAAAACGAAACAGTAGATTTTATGCTTGCCACGAGGCTTCAGCCGATGACTAAGTACAATGTAAGTTTCTTCTGTGTCAATGCTTCCTTTAATTTCTTGTTCAGAAAGCAGCAACAATTATATAGACCTTGGAATCAAGTAGTTACAACTTGAATGACATGGATCACAACAGTCTTAGTAGATTCGTTTCGGTTTATCATCGATCCCTACTAAGTCTATAGCATGTTTCTTTCCACCCTTTAACCCTATGATTGACCAATACGTAATTTCTCCTAACAATATCACCAGGCTATCAGAAAAAAACAGGTGATGAGAATCACAAATACATCGAGTAAATGGTGTTTTAACAGAAAAGAAAGGAAGAATTTTAATCAAGATTTTTGAAGTGAATGGTTACAGTCCGTGTTAAGGAGCCATCGTTGCTGGTGTTCTATCCTGCATCCATACACCCAATCGAGAAATCTCCAACTCACCTTGGATCTATAAACCGTTTCCTCTCTAAGAAATATATTTTCGCCGGACTTTTTATCTAGTAGGCCCCAGTCCATCTTGATGTCCCAGGTCAGGGTGTAACACGTGCTGATAATAGCAGCAATGATCCAGAGCATGAAAAAATGATCAGACCGAACAGAGTCTGATTTGGCTGTGAAAAGAAAATATCTACTATCATACACAACCTAAAAACCTCTCTCACGAAATTCACGTTATTTTGCTTTAGATGCACATTCTTTGCTTTAATAGACGATTTATCTCCGAGATCAACGAAAGTAGCTGTACCCTCCTTCATTATTCCGAGACACGGTGGTTCAGTGTTTACTTTCCACAGACTTGACCCGGATCAAATAATCCGGGCTCGACATCAGGCCTGGTTCATTGTGTTGTGTTCCTGGCCACACACTAAACTCCCACTGACTCTCCACACGAGGTAAAAATGTGAACCGCCAAGAAAACCAGACGAGATAGTCACTGTGGACGACGATTGATGGATAAGCATTCAATCCCGAAGGAGAAGCAATAATCCTGGTCGTTTCATGTTACAGGAATCAATCACAGGGTAAGAAGACTTTTTCATACCCCATATTTCTTGTTGATTGTTTTGCATCAGGTGATAGCGTTCCCCGCAGATGCCTCTTAACCCACTAAGCGATAACAGCTGCCAATATTTTAAGTTCTGATTGAATTTCCGCTAGCTGTGCTCTTTATACTTCAAGCCCCTGCTTGCAGCCGCAAGTCAGCGAAAAAGAATACATTTTATACCCATCACAACAAGAAGAAAAACGCCCTTACCAAGCGTAGAAAACGCCACCACGAAGAATGATGTGGAGTACTTGCCAGCGTTGACAAGATGTGGAAAGGCGTGTTTGGTGTCCCTGTACCGCCTCAAGCACTGAGCAAAACGGAACCAGGCAGGTAGGCAGGCAACGAGAGGACGGATACCATATAATGTACCATCACAAATCATATCTTCCGCTGAAATAAAATATATATGCACATACATGCGGAGTAATTCGTTAAAAAACGAGGACAACAAAGCGCTTCTCTTTGAAGGAGTGCCAGAATTAGCAACCTCTTTATGGGCACGCTCAATTCCACCACCAACCTTCCGTTTTCAAGGGCAGGCTTGGTTACCGCGTTGCGTTCTGGAGCACCTTGACCTCAGTGCCTCTGTCAACTCACGAGAAATAACGAAGAGAAAATACAAAAATTCTGGATTGTCATTAACCTGGAATTTCCTAGACCTCCATCCAAATGGTAAAGAAATACTCCATATCACTTTATAACTCAATAAGAACCTGGAATGATCTTCAGCAGATGTAAGTCATTGAGCCCGTGAAGACGTTAGCCAATTAGTTGTAAAAATAGCTTTCATCGTTGCCCTTTAGAATGACTGGACCAGCTTTTGGGGAAATTGAAAAGAGGACTGACATTAAATTTATTTTGGAGAAAGAGTGGACATTTCAAGATACAAAAATATATTATATAACAACTACACTCACAGTTAGTCACGTGCCAGTCATGAGCGTAGAAACAAATAATGAACTGGAAATCAAGAAGTGCCACAGCTAAACTGTTAAGTTGATCTGCCAGCCAGAAATCGGCGAATCCCACGTGTTGAAAAGGAGCAGTAAAAATGCGAAACTTTAAAGAGAACAAATAATGAAATGTTACCATTCAGATAACTCCATTAAAATGGGTTAAGTTTTCCTTTCCGAGGGATGCTGTATTTTTGCAAATTTATTTTGATTTTGAATCACGTGCCTCAATTTGGCGACTTTTGGTTTGTGGGGATAGACTGAAGCGATTGGCCAATTAACAAATCTATAGGTGGCTGGAGAGTATGGAAGTGAACCGTAATCAGACGTCCCTAGATTTTAGTTTTCAGACGTTGGCAACTGTGCAAAGGTCGCACCTTCATAAGAAACCTTTGACCTAACGTGTCATGGCGCGACCTTTGTGCGATCAGTTATGAAAAACTTTCAAACTAAATGTTCCCAACCCTAGCCCAAGCCCTCACTTTATTACCTAACAAAAGAGGAGAAGTGAACAAGAGCGAGAATGAAATTGACATTAAAGCTGGAATCTTCGATTAAATTCCCAATGAATAAAGCTACATTTGCACTCTGAACGATGAAAAAAATTTGCCTTAACTCACCAGAACTCTAAGAAGCCAGAAGCGTGCTTTGTAATAGCAGATTTTGAACGGATTGATCGTGAACAAGAATAGGAACGACACTAGAACCAAATTGGGAGAGAAGGATT